TGAGGGAACCCCCAACGAAGTGGGGAAAAGAGTTGTGGGAGAGTTAGGCCCTTGAAGCACCTGGAGAACTCCTTCAAAAAAAAAAAAAAAAAAAAAAAAAAAAGTATAGTGATCTGATTTTTTATTCCTTTCAACGAGAGTGTTTTTTTTTTGTTTTTTTTTTTTGTTTTTTTTTTGGTGGGGGAGAGAGAACTTAAAAGTTTTCTAAGCTATAGAACTCACTGGTTATAATGTACATTTTGATCCATTGAGTAAGACTGTGGGTATAGGGATATCTGTGTTACCTTGGCTATCCTTACAACCTACTTAGCTGTGAAATGTAGTTTTTCTAATAGTATTCCTTAATTTAGTATTCATTAAAATGAAATTTTGAGGCTGAGCATGGTGGTGTATGCGTATAATCCCAATACTTGGGAGGCTGAGGCAGGAGGATTGCTGTGAGTTCAAGGCCAGCCTGGCCTACATAGTAAGTTTGAGGCCAGGCTGAACTACATAGCAAGACACTGTCTCCAAAAAAAAAAAATTGTTTTTTCAACGTTGACAGTCTCACATCACAAAAGAAGTTCACAGTCAGCTTACTTTGAAATACCCAATTTTCATCAGTTTCTGTTTTGCTTCTTGGTGGTAGCCAGGGCAAATTTTCATAATATTTAGAGTGGTTCACTTTCTGTCCCCTTCTAAACAGAATCCACTGGAGTGTGTAGATGATGGCCAAAGGCCATCTCAGGCTTTATTCCTCTCAAGACCTTCTCCTTGGGTCTGGGTGTCATCTGAGCGCCTTCACTCTGCCTTTGGACCTCTCTCTGCCCAGCCTCCCCACAGAAGAGCTGTAAAATTCTCACAGTTAATCACACTAGGTGCCTTCAGTGAGGTATGGGATGGAGGCTACACAGTACTGATACCAGACAGGGCTAGCAGGTCAATTCTCCTGCATCCACACGAGCCTGTGTTGTGATTTCTGCTTGCGAACATAGTGTGCACTCCTTGTAGAATCTTCAAACATTTCAAAATTATAAAAAGTTGAAAGTCAGTGGTCAAAATCTTTGGTAACCTTAGCCTTCAGCAATGACCACCATGAGCAGTGCAATGTGGATTCCTCCAGATTTTTTAACACAGAAATTAAAATGTTACTGCTTGCCAATGGTACTGTCCTATACCTAGATGAAGGCTGTTCTTGCACTTGGTGTAATGCATACTGGACCTTTTGAAGGGCTAGAAATATCCTGCTTTAGATACTTTTTATTCCACCACAATGGGTACTAGGTAAGAAGAGCCCTGTAACCAGGCAAAAAGAGAGAGACTGGTGGTGGTGGATAGGGCGGGGCATGTGCTGTGTTCTGTGGGAGGCAGTGTCACATTCCACACCCTTTGCAGTGAGCCTTTGTGGCCAGTTGTTTATAGATGAGGAGAGGAAGACCCAATGCCAGAGCAGAGCTGAGAGTCCAGGTCAGCGTGGCTCAGACTCCAGCTCTGTCCCTTTTGCTGCCCTGATTGCCGGAGGACACATTCTCCTCGAGTTCCCTGGCCTCTCATCCTATTCTGCTTCCTCCTCCCTGGCCTCCTTGCTGTCCCCTGCCTCAAGGGCTTAGCACTAGTGGGTTTCTCCCAGGATGCTCTTCCTGCGTATGTCTGCATGGTTTGTTCCCATTCCTC